CATATTCTTTCTTCTTCTTATTCTTTTTCTCTCTCTTATCCCTTTGTCTTCCTCTCCAAAACAAACCCAGATTTGGGTTTTTCTCAAGCCCACCCTTTCACCATCAAATCCCCCCTCAATCACCAAGCAAAATTCATAAAAATCACCAAGACATGAGGGAAGAGGCAACGTACGACGAGGTGCTGCAGATAATCGCGGAAGAGTAGGACGGTTGGTCAACTTTGTCGGGAGGAGATTGCTAGATATCGAGCCAGATACCAACTGCATTAGCATGTCCTCTACCTTCGAAGAAGAAGTCATTTTCGTTCACAAAGAAAAAGTCATTTTCGTTCAGGAAGAAGAGGGAGCCACCGAGGGACGGATATTTCTAGTCACCTGATCTGGAGTTGTTCTTCTCGATGGGTCACCGAAAACAAGCTTGTTCAGTTAACTAATTACCAACCCCAAAATTGCAATTCCTTAAGGTTTTTAATCTGTTGATCGACTCTTTCGAGGATAAGGTCTCAACAAGAATTAATGTGTATATGTACATTGATCTTTTTGTTTTTCTTTTGTGTGTATATTAGTATGGAAGAAGCTCTGATGCTATATAATATTACCATTAATGGCCAATGTATGTATGTATGTATTTCGACTCTATGGAATTATGGGATGAACTTTTTAGTATATGATAAGATTAAAACAAAACCCAGATCTAGGTTTGAGAAAAACCCAAGTTTGGGTTTGATTTGGAGAGGAAGAATAAAGGAGAATAGAGAGAAAAAGAATAAGAAAAAGAAAGAAGAAGGATGAGCAGGGAAAGGAAGGAGGAAGGTTGATAGAGAATGAGTAGGCAAAACTATCAAAAGAGGAAAGGCGGAAGAAGATGAAGTTTTTTTTTTTTTCTTTAGGCAAAACTGATTTGTATTGCTTTTCTTATTATCACCAACTTCTTCATATTGTTAATTTATGTGATGAAACCCAAATCTGGGTTTGAGAGAGGAAGAAGTAGGGATGAGAGAGGAAGAAGTAGGGAGAAGAGAGAAAGAGAAAGAATAAGAAGAAGAAAGAAGAAGGATGAGCATGGAGGAGGAAGAAGATGAAGTGGATATGGGTTTGTAGAGGTAAGGGAAAAGGAAAGGTAAAGAAGAGAGAAAGTGAAAAATGAAGAAGAGATGGCGTGGATGAAAAAAAAAATCATTGTTTTTAAATTAAATAAAAATGTCAACTCATACAAAAGATGGCCAACTATACTTTGTTTTTTTCCATGTCATTAGTTAAGAAAAAAAAGAATTGATTTGCTGGCAAGTTAACCTGCCACCTGTCCATTTAACTGACAGAAGGACTTTTTTGGTACCGAAAATGAAAATTGAGGAATAATTTTGGTACTTCTTAAAGTTGAAGGACAATTTTGGGGCCAAAGTGAAAAGTTGAGGGACCAAAATGGTATTTAAACCAATATTCTAAGGTATAAAGTATATAAAGAAAATATTCTAAGAAATAAAATATATAATGAAAATATTCTAAGGTATAAAATATTTACAATAAGTGTGAATATAATCTTAATTATTGTGTTCACATCTTAACATCCCCCCTCAAATTCAAGGTGATTGTGATGAAACCAACTTGGGTTTGGAAAAAAGAGTATGAAAGCATCCAGGAAAATAAGTCTTAGTGAAAAGGTCTACTGGTTGATCAACAGAGCCAATAAAAACCAAATGAACAGTTCCTTCTACAACATGATGGCAAACAAAGTGACAGTCAACCTCTATGTGTTTAGTGTGTTCATGGAAGACATTATTATGAACAATCTACATGGCACTTTGATTATCACAATAAAGATTAGTAGCAGGCAGTTAAGAAACACCCATATCTTCTAGTAGCCAACATAAATTAAGTAACTTTGATGTGGCGCCTCCAAGTGCTCAATATTCAACCTCTGTTCTAGAACATGATGGAATTATTTACTTCTTTCTATACCAAGAGATTAAGGAATTACCAAGAAAAAGTCAATATCCAGTGGTGGATTTACAATCATTAGAGTCTCCAGCCTAATCACTATCAAAATAAGCACGAAGTTCAAGAGATGAATGAATAGAAAAGTGAAGTCCATGAACCATGGTACATTTAATATACCAAATAATGCGACACTACAAGGAGATGTACCTATACTGACGGGAGTTTTCCGTCTGTATAGACCCATTTTCCGTTGGTATAAACCCCCAGGGACTATTCCGACGGAAGAACTTTCAGTCGGTAGAAACCTCGTCAGTATAGGGTCTATACCAACGCCTAATCCGTTTGTATAGACCCTTGGGACTATTCTCACGGAAAACCTGTCCGTTGGTATAGACCCTAAGAAATTTAAAAAAAAAAAATTGCCGTGGGTATAAACTTTCACCTTTACAAATGGATAATCCGTTGGTATAGACCCTGGAAAAAAAGAAAAAAGAAAAAAAAAAACCCATCTGCATCTGTAGCCATAGCAGCTTCATCTGACTAAAATTAAACTCAATCTACCCAATCTCTTGCTCTACCATCACAAATCTCTAAAGAAATTCTAATGTACTAACAAATCTCACAAATTTGTTAAAAAATATAAACGATCAACAAATTCATAACTATTCAAGCTCCCATAGCTATTTGCAGGCAACATTCAAACATTGAGTGAAATGATCATATGGAGAACAATTAGCTACCAATGATCTAAACAAACAAAAATGAAAATCATGCTCCCGTTTCAACAATGTAAATCATTCATGGCAAATCAAAATTAATGAATAACCAGAGTTGATCTAGATCTGAGTATAATGGATCTCATAAATCCTAATGTTGTAAAATTTACAGAAAAGGCACCATACCACTCCTTTGTCTGGATTTTCCAAATTAATATTTGGATGAACCCACCCTGTTCGTATTGCCTGCAAAAAACACAAGATCATGCTGATTAAAAAAGAATAGAAAAAGAGGTGAAAGAAAATTGGACATAACAGTGCCTATTTAATTTCTTTTTACTCTAACATAACCATAAATGGCATAACCTAGCAATTTAGACTATATCCCCATATACTTTTTCTGAAAATTCAACATGTGATCCATAAATTGCATACCTGCACCGCAGCAACAGCTTCCACAGCACCAGCAGCTCCTAGTAGGTGACCAATCATAGACTTTGTGGAATTCACCCTTAACTGCCAATATGGGAGATCTTATCAAGAAGTACAGTACAGTAATAATATTAGAAAGAGAATTATAAAGCTTTAGGAAAGAAAAGTATTCATTGAAGATACCTCAGGATTCCTGCCAAAACAATGAATAAGAGCTTGGAACTCTTTAATATCTCCAGCTAGGGTAGATGTAGCATGTGCATTTATGTAATTCACATCTTCCCTAGATACCCCAGACTGTGCTAATGCCTTCTCTATGCAGAGAATTACACCAACTCCTGTTCAAGATTACAGTACATTAGTTCATCCTCTCACATGACACCGTGTGGTGCCAGAATTAAACAAGGAGCACTGAAAAGTCAAATATTCCAGATTTGGTAATTACTGTGAAATTTTTGAGTAATAAGCATACATGATGTTTGGCCCAAAAAAAGGCATATGTGGTGTTCTGGGGCATTAAGTACCTTGGACATTTTGAAAACTTTGCAATAATAGGGTAATTACACTAAATTTTTATTTTAATTAGAGAAAACAAATACTAATTTACATACATAATGAAAGAACAGATGCAGGATACCAGAAAATCAAAAACAACACACTCAGCAATAGTTCTAAATTATTTTCCTTTAACTATTGTTGATAAATCAGACTCAGCATAAGAAAACCCAATTGATTATTAAGTTAATGATATCTCATCTCTTATGCTTGCACCATATAGTTTATTAAGGCTATAAGCATGATATAGAATTGACAGTTCAGATAGAATACTAATAGCAGATTCTTTTGATTCAAGAAAAGATTGCATAGTCAAAATAAAGAAACAAGCACTTCTGAATTTTACCGTAAATGGTGAGTGCGATGTAGAATTGACAGTTCAGATAGAACACGGATAGCATATTCTTTTGATTCAAGAGCAATACTACAACAGTATGATGTAGAGAAATAGTTAATACAATCAAAACCACTGAGTTCTATACTTATATGCTCTACTTTTGCAGAGCAAATTACATGTTGGTGCAAAACAAAGATAACATGCCCAACTTGTTAAAGGACAAAATACAGGTCCAAATGTTGGGCTGTGCTCATGTAACATTCATAGAAAGTTAAATCCTTCATCACTACTACTAATGTGATCTTTAAAACAATAACAGTATCACCATCATCAAGACATTTATTACCACAGAAACAAATAAAATGTGAAAAAAGTTAAAATGAATTTTGTAAGTAACCAAGACAAGGCACTTACCATCAGGGCGTGGCTCAGTCATGTGATAAGCATCACAAGTAAAGCTTCCACCAAGAAATTCAGCATAAATAGTTGCACCTCTTTTCTGCACAGTTAAATAGCTTCTCTAATTCTTCTTTAATAAGTTGAAAATAACCAAAACACACTGAAAATAGTATCTCTATGAACACATAATAAATTGAATAAAACAAGTGAGCATGGCAAGGGGTGTAAGACAAACAACAAAAATGCCTCAGAACAAGGCTTTATTGAGTCCAAGGGTACCTTAGCATGCTCCAATTCTTCTAAAAGCAGAACTCCTGCTCCTTCCCCCATGACAAATCCATCACGAGACTGTTTGATAACCAACAAAATTTCACCAGTAAGAGATGCACAAGCAGACCAATGATGCAAAAAAATCTAAACCATGTTTTGAATAATAGACTTCAAAAAGAAAATACAGACAAGCACATAGAACTATTTTGTAAAAACTAGCAAGCACAGATCTAAAAGCCACAAGTTGTTGGGACCTATAAAGTCATTTGACATGACAAGAACATGGGAACTTCTATTCTAATATGAAAAAATAGCCAAGTTGCTTGCCTTTCAAATGTAGAATTATCATTGGTTTTCCTCCAAATTAGCTTCATTAAACCATTTTTATTTTCACTCTTGCCAATAGAGTTTTGAGATGTCAAAAAAAATAAAATAAAATAAAAAAGAGCCTGAAAGCTGAGTTAATTGAACAATACCATATCCCAAGGACGGGAAGCTTTAGTAGGATCATTGTTCCTCTGTGAGAGTGCTCTGCACGCTACAAATCCTCCCAAGCCTACACCAAGAATTGCAAAATATAATTTGACAATATTATGCCCTGCCAAGTTCAAAGGTTATGAGATGGTGTAAAATAGGAAAGAGAAAAAGGAATACCAATTGGTATGATTGCTGCATCAGAACCGCCACAAAGCATCATGTCCTGAAAATTTTTTTTTTAAATCTCAGAGAGCCCATTCAAGTTGTACCATGCATATCATTTGCCTTTTAGCTAAAACTTACAGCTATTTTCCAAGGAGGAGCTTAGCACTCCTCCAATACATCACCATCGACATTAAAGTATTCAAAAACTTGTTATGAATGAAATTAAAGACTATTTTCTCATAAATTCAAACACAAACAAATCGCCACACTAATACTTGAAAGAAAGAAAGAGAGAGAGGAAAAAAAAAAAAAACAGAGCAATGAATCTAGCAGGCAGAAACGCAAAATCGAACATAAAAGAGAGATTGAAATTGAATTGAACCTGCACTGCAAGAGGTTGGAGGATCTTTTTGGAGATCCTTGAGCTCCTTCAAGATCCGCTTCGACGCCATGACCTGAACCCTAAGACAACAACGCGCCAAATCGTAGATCGCCATACGTAGTTAGCTTAAACAAGAACACGAAATCGAACAAAAACAGAGTTAATTGCAAAATTAGTGAGGAAGAGAGAGCTACCTGAGAGAGATCCTGTAATTTTTTTTTTCTTTGCTCTCTTTGGAGAATGAACAAAAAGTTTGTTGCGCACCCCAAAGTCCCTACAATGCCAAGGGAGATGCCAAAGTTGCCTCTGCCATGAAGCCAAGCTCTTCGATGCCGATGATGATGATGATGATGAAGAACTTGGCTGCCTAGAAGATCCTAGTCCCTACAACGCCAAGGGAGATGCTTTGATCGGCATGATGCATCGGCTTCCTTATGGGTTTGACGAGGTTGTGGTTGGCGGTGTTTCGGAGTCGGAGGCATCTGGAAAGTGTGTTGTGGGGAAGGGTGGCCCTAGGGATGTGGCCGTTGCTAGGGACAAGGTGGTGACTGGAGGTGATGTTGTGGATGCAGACAAGGGCGAGGGGGCGGACTACCTGGATGGGAACCAAAGCACTTAGGTTTTTGAGTTTTATCAAAATCAATTACAGATTTTGTAGATTTGGGAGAGGGGCGAAACACCTAGGTCTACCTGGGGAGGGAAGCTCAGGATTAAGGAGAAAAAATTGGGAATTTGTGGAGAGAAGTGAAAATTTCTACTGTCGACTGAATGGGTCTTTGAGTTTTATCAAAATCAAATACAAATTGTGGAGATTTGGGAGAGGGAAGCTAGGGATTTCGGGAGGGAAGTGAAAATTTCTACTGCCGGCTGAATGGGTCTTTGAGTTTTATCAAAAATTCAAATACAAATTGTGGAGATTTGGGAGAGGGAAGCTAGGGATTTCGAGAGGGAGATTTGGGAATACAAGGAGGGAAGTGAAATGATTGTTGCAATGCGATCGGCTGAAATTAAAAAGCGTTTCAGATACAGTAATCCGTTTGTATAGATTATATCTATACAAACGGATAATCAATTAACCGTTTGTATAAACTTATTTTATACAAACGGTTATATTTTTTCATTGGTATAGACCAATATATACTGACTGCTCTAATTTTCTGTTAGTATACATGGTTTTATACAGACAGATTCTTATCCATTGGTATAAACTTCCGTTGGTATAAGGCACTTTGTTTGTAGTGCGAAGTACTGCTACATAGTGAGTCGAACAAGGTGTAGTCATAAACTAGTTAACAACATGAACTACATAAACTATGTCTGGTTGTGTTGTAATGAGATAAATCAAACTTCCAACTAATTGTCTATAGCAAGTAGGATCAGCTAATAAAAAACCATCCATGGATGTAAGTCAAACATTTGGCTCAAGAGGAGTAGATACAGTCTTACTGTCAATGAGTCCATCTTTAGATATAAGATTAAAAGCATATTTTGTTTGGGAGATAAGATAACCATCATTAGAAAAAGTGATCTCAAGTCCCAATAAATAGCTCAAAACACCAAGATCTTTCATCTCAAACTTATGACCGAGAAATTGCTTAAGATTATGAATACCTGAAATATCATCCCCAATAATAATCATATCATCAAAGTAGTAGTAGAACCATACCATGATTAGTCTTGCGTATGAACATCACAATATCATGAAGACTGGAAATAAAACCAAATTCACTAATAGTAGTACTAAACTTGGCCAACCAGGCTCGAAGTGCTTGTTTCAAACCATATAAAGCTTGCTTCAATCAGCAAACTTTTTTTGGAGGATGCTCAAGTCCAAGAGGTGGTTTCATGTAAACTTCCTCTACAAGATCACCATTTAGAAAGGCATTTTTCACATTCATATGAAACAATTTCCATCTTTTTGCAGCAGCAATAACAATTAAACTACGAACTGAAGTAGGACCAGCAATAGGTGCAAAGGTTTTCTCATAATCAATCCCATATTCCTGAGTAAATCCTTTAGCAACCAAACAAGCCTTATAATGCTTCACATAACCATCAGATCAAGGTTTGATCTTGTACACACATTTACAACCCATTAGAGGCTTTCTAGTAAGAAGATCAACTAAATCCCATGTATGAGTTTTGTCAAGCGCTTGTAATTGATCTTGCATAGCTTGTTGCCAAAGAGGGTTAGAAAAGGCCTCTTGGTAGGATTGAGGCTCATGCAAAGAGGTAATAATAGGAAAATAATGATAATCATGAAGATAGTTAGGAGGATTTCTTACCCCTCTAGGACGACTTAAAGGTGGATTAAGGATCTCATTTTCAAGCTCAATATCAACAGGGTTACATCCAACAAGTGATACAGAAAAGGTAAGGGAACAAGACTCAGCATTGTCCATTGTATTATCAGTAGGCAAAACATCTTTTAGAGAACCAGGAGGAGCAGGTGCAAAGGTATCATGGAGCTCATCAAATGTATCTACATCAAAGTCAATAGGAAATAGCTTAATAGAAGGGTTAGTAAAAAGTGGAGGTTGATTAAAAGATGATACCTGGAAGTTTGATAATGAGGAAAACATAGTGTGTTCCTAAAAGACAATATGACGTAAGACTTGAAGTCTTTGTGACACAGGATCCCAACAACGATATCTTTTATGTGTAATCCTATAACCCAAAAAACAACATAATCGAACTTTGGGCTTTACCTTATTATGTTCATGAGGTGGAAGAAAAACAAAACAAGCATAACCAAAAACCTTAAAAGGATCATAGGCAGGGGGAATACCATGCAAGCATTCGTATGGAGACTTATTATTGATGATCAATGATGGAATTCAATTAATGAGATAAGAAGTTGTAAGAACAGCTTCACCCCAAAATTGCTCTAGACAAGAAGACGAAATGAGCAGAGCACGAATAGAATCAAGAATGTGTCTGTTTTTACGTTTGGCTTGCCCATTTTGTTCAAAAGTGTAAGGACAAGATTGTTGTGTTAGTGTATCATGTTCTTTCAAAAAAGATTGAAGTTTAGTACTAAGATATTTAATGGCATTATCAGTTTTTAAAACTTTGATAATTTTAGAGAACTGGGTTTTGATCATGGTAACCAAATCAATAAATTTGTGGTAACTCAGAGTGATTTTTCATAAAATATATCTAGGTAAAACGAGTATGATCATCAATAAATAACACAAAGTACCTAGAACCCCCCATGGTAGGTGTTGGAGATGGACTCTAAACATTAGAATGCACGAAATCAAAAGAAGCAGCACAAAAAGAATGACTACTACTAAACGATAAAGTTGGTTGTTTTGTAGATTGACATGACACACAATGCAAGGATTCATTCGAAACAGATCCTAATAAACCACAAGAGATAAGAGGACGAAGTTTATCGGCTGAGGTGTGTTCGAGCCGTGAGTGCCATAAATGAAAGGAGAAATATTAGTAGCAACACTAGCTTGGAAGATTTATTGATATGGAACTTGCAGAGGCTCAAACTTAGTAGTAAAAAGTAAGGTTTAGATGAATTGGTCATTTGGAAATGATGGTGTATCCATTTTATGATGAGGTATATGTAGATAATTGAGCTTAAACAGATGCTCCACCTTACGACCAGTTTCAAGAAGTTATCCTGTTTGTGAGTCCTGCACACGACAACCATGAGTATAAAATGTTATTTCAAGACCAAAATCACATAATTGACCAATAGACAAAAGATTATAACTAAGTTTTCGAACCAAGAAAGTTTTTGGTAAAGTCAATGAATTTGTAGAAATGTTTCCAATGTGACTAACATTCATAGGGGAGCCATTAGCAGAAAAAATGTCAGGAAAGGAATTATTTGGTGACATTGAAGAGAAATAAGTAGTAGTTGAAGACATTTGATTACAACAACCAAAATCAAAATACCAAGGTTTAGTACCTAGAGCAATAGATAAGACAGTATGAGTATTAAAAAGATTTAATATCAGCTGTTTTGGAGATTCAGGGTTGATAATAAATTGGTCTATCATCTCTTTGGTAGTAGTAGGATGAGTCACAATTCTTTCAAAACTCACCATAGAATCACTAGAACTCACAATACTAAAAAAATCTCTAAAAATATAAAGAAATAGATGTCAAGATCAAAATTACAACTCAACAAAATACCTTCGAAAATGTGTGAGATTTGAGAATAAACAATCCAATTTGCAGGAGAGAACCCAATGACAAAGTTTCAGATTTGGGATAGATTTGAAAATCCAACTCAGTAACCAAGTAGTGATAACAGAAGAATTAGGAGCATATAGCTCTAATACCATGTTAGAAATTGAAAAGAAGGAGAAATATTTGAAGAAAGGTTTATTGCTTTCTTAAATAATACTGTATGTACAATGACCTATATATAAGTGTTTACAAAAAAAATATTCTAAGATATAAAGTATATAAAGAAAATATTCTAAGATATAAAATATTTATAATAAGTGTGAATATAATTTAAATTATTGTGTTCACATCTTAACAAAAACAAATAATAATTTAGTCCTTAAACTTTAATTATAAATACCAATTTTGGTCCTTTTACTTTGATACCATGATGGCAAAATATGGTTATTTGATTTTACAAGTCATTAATAGTTAAAAAAAAATTAATATTGTAGTAAGATAACAAGTTACGTAACACAACAAGTTACGTAACACTTCTATCTCTGTTAACAAAAGACCTATTTTAGTATCAAAAAGCCTATTTTGGCACCAAAAATTAAAGTGTAGGGACAATTTGTACTATTAGTTGAAAGGCATATTCTTCTTGAGATCAAAATGAAAGGCACGTTGTTCTGCCCGTTTTCTGATTCTGTCGATACCAAATCACATGTTCGCAAGTAACTAAACCCTTATTTTCTACCAGCATGAATAAATGAGCATATGGAATGCAAAAAAGTTCTTTCTCTTTATATGTTAAGTTCGTCAAGTGACATAAAAAGAAGTATGGAGCCATCCTCAATCCTTCTCAAAAGGATAAAGATGAGTCACATGTGGGGAGATAACGTGCTTCGGTTATGGAGAAAGAAAGAAACCAGTGTGCATGAAGCTTGTGGTCCTTCATGTGTGACAGTTTAAGGTTCCAAACCATTGGCAAATCTTAGAAAGCACGGACTCATGTAGTCACAAGCCATATGCTTTGGACTGGAAGATGAAGACACCAAACCTACAACTTAATGATGTTGTGGTGCCTCCATTTGCCTACCACGTGGAAGTGTTCTATACTTGATTTAATTATAAGATAATATTTATTTATTAGTAAAATATTAATAATAAAAAAAATTATAATCTTTTTATGTAATTTTTAAATGTCATTAAATAAATAAATTTAGTTAATATCATAAGTCTCAAATAAATAAATAAAAATCAATTATTTAAATTACATATAAAACTATACTAAAAACAAGTATAAAAAATTATCTTAAATCATTTTTTTATTAGTGAGTAGAGTTGATATTCCAATAATTATAAAAGTCAGAACTTTTTTTACTAATGGTCTTAAATTTCAAATTTATTGTAAAAGAGAATGATTATCTTATTCTATATTATCTAATCTATAATCATCATATGTATCAAAGGAAAAATAAGAACATCTGCATCAAAAAAAAAGGAAAAGTAAAACACCTGTTTACTTCTATTATCGCATAAGTAACTAAACACCACCTCTTTGTCAAAGAACAAATGGCCGCTATAGACATGATCAAGGTAGATTTTGGTTCCTAATACGGGTTAATTAAGTAAGTTTAGACGATACACTAGGTTGTCACTCTATAATTGGCTGTTTTTAAGGATACTTAATTCTTAATTAAATTATTTATTCTTTATTTGACTGTTTATTCCTGTATTTTTAAAAACGTGGCCCGATGGAAGTGGGCTCTCTCTCGACCACGCTTGAAGCTAGCAACTTTCTCTCTTTTTTTCTTTTTTTTTTTTCACTATTCTTTCTTTATTCGTTGTCCACTACCAAGGGTGCATCCGTAATTTGAAAACATTTTGCGTACGTGGCATCATTTTAGGCTTCCATCAAAGAGTATATTGACTAAACAAATGTAGTAAATAATAATTAAAATAACAATTATGAGGGTTTTAAATTAATTATTTTCTTTAAAAAAAAAACACTTTCTTTATATCCCTGCATATTTCAGGATTAAAATTAAAAACGATAAAGTAGGCAATGATACCTCTGTACTAATAGTCGTTTGTTCGGTGATAGCAATTACTGTTCCTGATAAGATGTACGTTGGTTCTCTGACTTGGAATAAAAATGGCAAAACATAAATCATCTAGCATCAAATTGATCAAATCCTAACCTAACCATGTTTACAGTCTGGTTACAACAGGCTTTATTAGACTTCTCATGACAAGTATATATATGCACACACACAACAAGCCTCCTTGCATCTTTGCTCTTGAATTGGATTATCTCGTAGCAAACTTAAGTAACATGAGTTCATTTCAAGAGAAACGAGAATTATCAGATGAAGAGGAAAACTGCTTGCGAGCAATGCAATTAGCAAACGCTACAGTCATTCCTCTGGTCTTGATATCTGCAATCGATCTTGATTTGTTAGAGATCATGGCAAAAGCTGGCCTAGAAGGTCGTAAGCTCTCGTCTTCTGAGATTGCCTCTCACCTTCAAGCACAAAATCCTGACGCCATATCAGTTATAGACCGCATGCTCTGCCTTCTGGCTAGCCACTCCATCCTCACATGCACTCTTGTCACTGATATGGAAGGACGTTCCCATAGGGTATATGGTTTAGCACCAGTGGGCAAATACTTCCTTCAAAATGAAGACCAAATTTCTTTTGCTCCTTTCCTACAGTTCAACATGGAAAAATATAGCATTGATCATTGGTAGGTTAATTGGTTTCTTCTTCCTAAATCCCAACAGTGCATTTTTATTTATTACTTGAAAACATTTATGATCCCATTAGACGACAATCATAAGAAAAAGTACTCTTCTTTAACGCAGGTGTTACTTAAAAGAGGCAGTAATTGATGGTGGTGTACCGTTTGAGAAGGCACATGGGATGCCAGTGTATGAGTATGCTGAGAAAGATGAGAAAATGAATAATGTCTTCAATAAAATAATGAGCAACATCAGTTCCCTAGTCATGAAAAAGGTTTTAGAAACATACAAGGGATTTGAGGGTTTAGAGCAGCTGGTAGATGTTGCTGGTGGGGTGGGTACAACTCTTAAGTCGATAGTCTCCAAGTATCCCCAGATTAAGGGTATTAACTTTGATTTGCCACATGTTATTAGGAATGGGTCCCCTTTTCCAGGTAATCTAGCTTGGATTCAGTTACATTAAATTCAGTTACGTTAAATTTTTACATTAAATTCAGGTGACAAGGGACGGGCCAGGGGGACTCGTCCCCCCTGGGCTTTGGAAAAAAGTTAAATAGGTCCTATTCTTTTTTAAAAAGTCAAATAAACCTTTCCCAAAAAAATAAAATGTGTTATAATTTTTATTCTTTTATAGATCTTACGATAATGAAATCACTTAACAAATAAAATAGATTTATAAAAATATTTTTATTTATTAGACATATTTGTCATTGTAATATGCACATGATTAATGACCATTTGTATCAAACAATAAAATAAAATTGATTTAAAATTAGTATTATTAATTTTTTAGAACATTTAATTTCACTATTTAAATTATATTGAATAATATTTTGTGATAGAAGTTGTGTTTCAATTTGAAATTTAAATATGCATAAATTTTAACAATTTTTTATATTTAAAGTTCTTCAAATTTTAGTTTTTGTATGTTTACATCTTAATTTAATTTACAAGTCAAACAATTTATTTTTAACATATACATTTCAAATGACAACTCACCTCGCTAAGATTATTTTCTAGCTCGTCCTCGGTGCTAACACTACTTTTATCAATGTCTTGTTAGGTGTGGAATACATTGGAGGAGACATGTTCACTAAAGTTCCTCAAGGTCAAGCCATTATCTTGAAGGTTAGTGATTTTGTTTCTATGTATTGTTTTGGAAAAAAAAAAAAAAAAAACACAAACCTAACATAGCAGTTCATTATATGAAACAGAACAAAACCAGAGTATATAGATGCTTGCCATTAGTACCATGGATTATTTTAGGGAATTATATATTCTAGTGGATTGAATTAAGATTTGTGCATAAAAATTTGAACAGTGGATACTTCACAATTGGGATGATGATCACTGCTTGAAGCTACTCAAAAATTGTTATGATGCCTTACCGGATTCAGGTAAGGTGGTGGTGGTGGAATTTTTGGCACCAGAATCACCTGTGAGTCATCTTATCGACAAAACTGTCTTTGAGTTGGACATAAGAATGCTTCAGTTGTTCTCTGGGGCAAAAGAGAGGACAAAGAAAGAGTATGAGGCTTTGGCACGAGAAGCAGGTTTCTTAGCTTTGAAACAGATATGTCCTGCTTACAACTTTTGGGTGATGGAATTTTACAAAAATATGAATTCTTCTACCTGAGTCATGGAGAAATTTAAGGACACCCCATTTATCTGCAGAAAGGCAAAATTTCCCAGGCTCACCATGTTCTATTGTAGTGTTTCAATAAATGTGTACTTGGTTATGCTGCTAGCTAGATTGGTTATCCTTTTCTTTGTTTCCAGTCCTGAGGAGTCAGACCCTCTTGTTGCAATGCAATTTGTTTTAATAAAATAGAAGGTTAAGTACATTAATTTCCATGGAATGGTAATTCTACATGATACACTGATGTCCATTCAAACAGATAATGTGTATTTTGAGCATGTTTCCTCAATTGGTAGGTGAACAGGGCTAATTATCAAATGGAGGGTTCCTCTCCAAGCAGTAGTTCTCGGAAGATAGCCTCACATAAACCCTTTTCATGAATCATCAAATGACCACCATCTAGGACTTCATGGTACTTGATCCAAGGCAGCTTCTTTGCAACAGGTTCCAAATGGAACCCGAGGCCTAGGTTTGAAATGGAACCCAAGGCCTAGGTTCGAAAAAACCCGCACCTGGATTCCATTGAACCCAGGTGTTGGGTTCCATCGAACCCAGTAGGTAGGGGAAGGAGAAAGGGAAAGCGAAGGAGAAAAAAAAAAAGAAAGGAATTTTTATTTAATAATTATTTATTAAATTATATTTATATCATCTACTTTAAAATTTATTACATCATAATGTTTTTATAATTAAAAAATACCATATCACCTACTTTATTTCCATGTAATACTCAATATTAATAAAAATTAAATTTCTTAACGGAGAATTTCGCCACATCAGCATTTAACTGATAAAATGATGAAATTGGTCTCAAAAATTGAAGTTCAGGGATTTTTTTAGTGTTTTTTGAAGTTTAAGGGTAATTTTGGTACAAAAATGAAAGTTGAAGGACCAAACCGAGTATTTAACCATAATGAAATTAGTTTTGCGTAAAAATTATTACTCTGTAAAAGTGTTTGGACGGAATTCAAATTAGGATGTTGATACGAGCCCCACAATGACATTATTGGTGGCTTGGTTTATGCCTAGTTTTGGGAATATTCTGGAGGTGTCTTGCTGGATTTTGCTGGCTCAACGTGATTGTTTGTACCGTATTTGTGGATTTTTCATATTTCTGAAATTTGTATGGCTGCTTTTAACGTAAGACCGGTCTTCGATGTGTTATTTATTTAAAAAAACCTTAATTTGGAAGGAT